GCCAGTTTATGATTCTGTGATTTTATGAATGCTTTGGAGCAGCTTGTTCAAGCTCTGCTGACTGCACAGCAAGGGACAAAGCTCATTCTACGAGGCAGCTGCCTTCCTCTTTTCTTTATAAGATGATTAATCTTGCAAAGAATGAATCACAGAATCATTGAACAGCTTAGGTTGAAGGGACCCTAGAGATCATCCAATCCAACCTCCTTTCCATGGCCAGGGGCACCTCTCAACTAGACCAGGTTGGTCAAGGCCTCATCCAACCTGGCCATGAAAACCTCCAGGGAGGAGCATCCACAGCTTCTCTGGGCAATCTGTTCCAGAGTCTCACCACCCTCAGACTGAAGAACTTCTTCCTCAGATCCAGTCTAAACCTCCTCTCCTTCACTTTAAAACCATCTCCCCTTGTCCTGTCGCTGGACACTCTTCCATCACCTCCCAACTCCCATGGCTGCTGGCAGCAGAAGACATTTCAGGGAAGGAGCACCAAGATGCAGAACAGACAGAGGAGAATTTATACCAAGGGGGGAGATTCTCCTTGCTGAGGCTTAGCCCATGGTTTGGGCCTGAAGGTTTATACCCACCCCAGCCAGAAAATGCAGTCACAGCTTTCAGAGCTACAACACATTTTCCATTGGATTGGATTTCTCAACGGAAAGCTCCCTTCCTGGCAACAATAAAAGCTTTCCAAGGGAAGCTTCTTGGCCATACCAAATTTTCCACTAGGAAACCTGAAGTGACTGCTCCCCACCCGGAAGCTCTGTGAAGTTAAAGGAGGCTTTGGCAGCTGGCAGGACCAAAAGGCAGCTTTATTTTGGAGTTTTTAGTGAAAGCCCTTCCGACAAAGTTTCCATGCTAAACATTTTGACCTCGTTTGGGGAGTGGGGAAGGGGTTGTTTGTTTTTTTTAAGCATGTATTTTTTTCATGAGAAGAAATACTCTTAGTTCCAAGCTGGTTCCAGCCATGCCCAATCCCTTTTGCTCACCCCACCAACATCTAAAATTCCAATGAACTGGGCAGCCAACTTCTCACACGTAAGCTCCCATTGGAAAGGCAAAGGCTCAATGATCTCTAAGATAGATGTAGGATCACATAGATCTCCACAGCTTTACATATGAGTTCTGGTCTGTAGTTGTGACCTGGTGGCGAGTCAAACAGCCAGACCTATAAGATGTCTTAGCATGAGCAAGGAGAAGTGACAGTTCCATGTCTAGTTCCTACCTGCACCTCAGGAAGATGGTAAGAAACAAGATTTTACCCAGGCCTTGTGCTTCAAAACCATGATTATGGTGAAATATCACTGCTTACATTTTCTCCCTTTCTATTTCCCCCTCAAAGATTATGAAATGAAATCTGAATTTTGCCCTTGAGAGGGAATTCCAGGTCCCATTGCTCGAGGAAGGCCACCGAAAATGGATACTCACCACCATTTTATCAGCATGAAATGTCCTTTGATAGCAAACACCCGACTGGGTTACTACAATGCCTTGTCCATGCTTGTGGTCATCCAGCCACGTCCCTATGTACCTCTCCCCTCTGGAATGCAAGAGAAAACCAGTTATGGGGTTTCCATTCTCTTAGATCTCAGTCCATTTGACGTATCACTTCCTGAGGCCGGTTGTACCTCATATAAAGCTCTGGGCACCACAAGGGCCAGATGTGCTGCACAAACTCCATTCATTTCATGCCTCCCCAAGTGTTCAACCCTTATAGCAGAGGTTGAACACATCCCCAAGTCCCCCCTGAGGACCCCTGCCAATAGAGGGACAACACTGTCAGGCACCTGAAGCCAGCTCTGATCTCTACCACCACCTTTACCTGTCTTTGTCTTCCCACACTCCATAGCCATTCTTCTTATCGTTTTCCCACTGTCCTGTGTATTTAAAGGGGTGCTCAGCTGAGAGGTTCTCCAGTATCCCAAACCCTTGACGCATGTTGTCTTTGAAGTAACCTTTGTAGACCATATCGTTCCCATACCTGCAGGGAGAGAGAGGCAGAATTTAAGACTGTTCCTTTTTGATAGCTACTACTGGAGTAGGAAGCCAGGAAAATTAATAAATTTGGCTCGTTTTCCTGCTAAATATTCCAAATATTTGACTTCTAGCTCCGGAGCTGGTTGTCGTTCACTATTAGGAAAGTGCATCACCCAAGCTAGTCACTCCACAGATAGCTTTCAACATTATCTAAGGACACAACACTCAGGGCTTGCAAATCTCCTGGGAGAGGCCACTCAGTCCTTGAGCTCTCACCAGCCAGGTTGCAGTGACCACTGGTTGATCCAGAGTGGGAGCAGATAAGTTCAAGTAAGAAGCTAGATGTGCCTTCAGCTTTCTACACTCATCAACCACCCCTTCTGCTGGGCTCATCCCCTGGAGAAGAGGTCCCCTTAGCTCTGTCCACGCTGGCCAGCAGATTTTCACTGCTACAGCAGCCAAAGCACTTAACTCTAAGCAGAACCATCCTCTGTAACTATCAACATGATCTCACAGATGGTTTGTCCCATGGTAAGCAGCTGGTCACTGCTTTCCTCTGCCACACTTGGCTCCACAGAAGCAGGGGTGAGCACTTGCAGTAACAACAGCCACTCTGGGTCTTCACGTTGGCCAACCTATTAGGCCACGTGTGACCTAAGCAAAGATGAGGATGCTGTTGTGCTCACAGCAAGCTGGCCAAACAAGAAAACCTCAAACTCCATTTCTTAAGTTAAGCTCTGGAGCTAAGAAGTTGAGCAAGCAAGCAAAGCAAACTAGGAGAACCATCTCCCTTCATGATAACAAGATTTCTACTCCAACGATCCCATCCATCATTCAGGAGTTGCTCTGTAGAAGATGTAGTCCTTGTAGCATGGCCAGGGGAGACAGAGTGAGCTGTGTCCCACCATATCTGTCCAGGGCTGCTGCCACACCACACACTCTCTGCTCTGGATGCAAGATTACACCCTCACCTCTGGGGCCCAGAGGATGCTGGGGTAGGTAGTTACAGTGCTCACAGCTTGCAGAGAAGCTCTTCCTATTCTAGTGCTCAGGAGCCTCAGGGCTTATGTGAAGAAGCCCAACTGCCCATCCCCAAGGCCAAAGCTTCTGGTGCCTGAATTCCGCACCCTGGGGTTTTCCACTAAACCTTTCCCAGTGAGGTGGGAACGTGAAATAGATGGAGTCTCCTTTTTGCCCAGAGTCCACCTTTGGGTTTTACTTACTCACAGATTCCATAGCCTCTCATCTTGCCCTCGTACCAGTGGCACTTGTAGCAGTCATAGCGGTCTTCAGCCTGGCGTGGGACGAGGCATATCCCAAACCTACAAGGTTCACAGGGCAGAGGTCAGCATGGCAAGAGGAGACTCAGTTCTCCTGGATGAAGTTCAAAATCTAAGGACCTTCCAGATCCCCAAGCTGATTTACTTGGTTGGGGCCAGCTCTACCTCTGACCCTATTTCCAAGTGTCAACAGACTCGCTCCGAGGAATTTCTCATCTCCTTGTGAGCTGCAGCCACAGTTCCTCACTGCTTCTTCTACAGAGTTACCTGCAGTGTTGTTGGGTTTTCTCCACCTCTCCCATTTCCCCTGATTAGGAGCAGACTTAGACTACAAAAGTAATTGCTTTGGTCCAAATAAAGTGTTTTCTTAACCCCAAAGTACTTCAGACTCTTTTTTTCCCCCCCTTAAAAACTTTATCTGGAACTCATCTAGAAATAAGAGCTCTAAAACTCTAATTCTCCAGAAGTTTTAGAAAAAATAATGTTTGAATTTCATAGCGTGGTTTCTTTCCCCTGAAAACTCCTCATCTAAGGTTTATAAGGATAGCTAAAAAAATTAAACTTCTCAAGGTATTTCATGTGAATAAACACACCTAAATTTACATCAGGGGACAGAGGCATCCAGGTGAATGGAAATGCCTGCACCTGAAGTGGTCATCTGGCCATAGTCAATGTTGATCTACTTGCTGTAGGTGACAACACACTCAACTTGAAGCCAGGTGTCTAAATTGGGCTGTAGAGTCACCCTACAAGCAAAATGGGCTGTAGAGTCCTCCTACAAGATGCCAGTGCCCCTGTAACTGCTGGAAGGAATTGTTTCTTGGCTTATCTTGGACACAAGAAGCACCCTGGCTTTTCAGGCTTACCCGTGCTCCAAGCCCTCTCTGAAATCTCCAACGTGGTTGCGTCCATCGCGCCACTTCAGCGTCCCCCTGCAAGTCAAAGCAAGTCTTACACAGGGGAGATCCACCAGTGGTCACAGCTCCAGCAGAAGGCATCAGGGCACAACCTACCAATGGCTATCAGCAAGATATTTTCTCAGGGGACATGGACACAGAAGTTCTTCAGGCACCAATGTAATTAAAAACTGTAAAAGTTTAATTCTAGAGTGTTTTCATGCCCTGGAATGAGGAGTAAGAATCATCTTCTAAGTTCCCTAATCTCAAAAGCATCTTGCAAGTAATAAAGCAAGTGGAAATGGCCTCAAGTTGCACCAGGGGAGGTTTAGGTTGGAAAAGAAGAACAATTTCTTCTTGAAAAAGAAGAATTAGGCTGGACAAGAAGGGTTATCAAACCCTGGAACAGGTTGTCCAGAGATGTGATGGAGCCACCATCCCTGGAGGGTTTTCCAGCCATGGAGATGTGGTCCTGATGGACATGGGGCAGTGGGGACCTGGAAGTGCTGGGGGAATACTTGGACTTGATGACCTTAAAGGTCTTTTCCAACCAAAACAAGTCTATGATTCTGTTGCTGGGTCAGCCATTCAGGACCTTGCCCAGAATCCTTTGGGAATTGCAGTGCAGCAGGTGTTGAACCCAGCTGAAGTCCCATGGCACATCCCTGTAGACAACATAATGACACCCCAGTCCAGAACTTTTTGTTTTCATGGTGCTTGGCACAACGAGGAGACAAGCACTGCCCTGGAGGGACCATATCTTCCCATCTGCTTTGTGTGGGCAACGATGAGAGGAGGTGACAAAGCAAGGATGAGACTGGAAGAGTCAATGTGATGGCCAAGTGCCTGCAGGGCCATGCCCAGCTAAGAATGCATCTCCCTCCCTCCCCACCTCCCTCCCACCCACACCCACTCCCCAATTCAGTTCTTGCATCACCCCAGACACCATCAGCTCCCCACAGCTTCCCCAACTAGAGACCAGAGCAGATGGTGCAGCCCCAAAACCATGATGGGTCTGTTTGACTTTCACTGGGGTTGTTGCTTTAAACACCTCCAGGAGACCAGATCTTTTTGTGGTATTTAAGAGGAAACAAGGAGATTAATTTGAAGTGGATTTAAAATACATCTCCTTTTGCATTGCTAATGTGCAAATGAGAGCAAGGCAGAGAGGTCTACTCCAGCCATGGGGATGGTTTAAGCACCTTCCCAGTGGGAGTATCTCCTTCCCCTACACCAGCTCAAAAAAAACTGTGACAGAACAGTGTAGAATGCTGATGTTTTTGCTGAAGAGCCTTGATCCACACCACTGCAGCTTTCTACTCATGTGCTCTTCCATGCCAGAGTCACAGCATGGTAGGGTCAGAAGGGACCTCCAGAGATCATCTTGCCCAACCGTCCTAATAAGGCTGAGCCATCTAGAGCAGGGTGCCCAGGAGGGTGTCCAGGCAGGTTTGGGATCCCTCCAGAGCAGGAGACTCCACAGCCTCTCTGGGCAGCTGCTCCAGGCTCTGCACCCTCACCCCAAACAAGTTTCTCCTCCTGCTCAGGTGGCACCTCCTGGGTTCCAGTTGGTGCCCCTTGCCCCTTGTCCTCTCGCTGGGCACCACTGAGCAGAGTCTGGCCCCAGCCTCTTGCCCCCCGGGGCCCTT